TGAGGCTTCATATCTCACAGCATATTAGGAAATGTTCTAATAAGTCATCTGATGCAAAAGGATTATCATTCTTTTGTATTATGTTTGTCTCTGTTTCTTTGTTTCTGGACCTCAATAAATACCTCTTATGTTACGGTTTAAATTAAGTAGGGAGCATGATATAGAAGAATAATCTTCAGAGGTGTTCTCTCAGTCTCAGGATTAAGAAACAATATATATACATAAAATGGTTTGTTGCAAATTTATGATCACTACCTTAGAAGAGTTGCTAAATCAAGAGTTGCTCACATGCTTGTGAGCAAATGAAGCCACACCTCGCTGTCTCATTTTGGGAGGCTCAGGATTTCAGTAATAGAGGTGGGCAGGTCAAGGATGAGCTGTACTCACAGATATGTGTGTGAGAAGAAGTAATTTAAGCCATAGCTCACCAGCTTCTTTTAGTTGATTCACACAGCTCCTACAATCTCAACTATGGTGTCAGCCTCAGGGTTAAAACACTACTTGTTAAGACCAAAGCATGATGCCAGTGAGAAACAATTTACCCTAATTATGGTGTCAGTTGTTTTAGATGGTGAAAACCTTATGAAGGTTGAGCCCACATGCAGCGTTACTGCAGACGTCCATTATGTATAGGGACACAAGCACACTGTCCACCCATAGAGGGCAGTATAGAGTAGAACTTTAGCCAGCCATTAGACTCAAATAGAGCTGGAATCAGACACTTACTCGCTGTATGTACTTGGAAAAGTTCCCTTAAGCTTTAAAACTTTCATTTTCACATCCATAAATTTAAAATACTTGTACTAGCCTCTTAGAGCATTGTGAACATTAAAAGAGAGAAAGCATGGGAAATACTTAATATATTTTGTTGTTGTTAAGTGTCATTGAGACAGTTCCAACCCATAGTGACCCTGTAGAGGGTTTCCTAGGAGCAGCTGATGAACTAGAACCACCGCCCTTGTGGTTCAAACTGACTTTGCAGTCCAGCATATGGTGGTGGTGATGGTGTGCCGTGGAGTTGGTTCCGTACAGGGTTTCCAAGGCAGAAAGCCTTATCTTTGTCCCACAGAACTGCTGGTACTTTCAAACTAGCTAACCTTGAAGTTAGCAGAAAGCCTCATCTGTGTCCTGCAGAACCGCTGGTAGTTTCGAACTAGCTAACCTTGAAGTTAGCTCAACTTGTAACTACTGCGCTACCAGAGCTCCTTAGTCCAGCATATGTTGTTGTTATGTGCCATCATGTCATTTCCTACCCATAGCAACCTTTTACAGGGTTTCTGAGGCTGTAAATCTTTACGGGAGCAGAAAGCCTCATCTTTCTCCCACGGAGTGGCTGGTAGTTTCGAACTGCTGACCTTAAGGTTTGCAGCCCAATTCGTAACCACTACGCTACCAGAGCTCCTTAGTCCAGCATATAGGAAGTGGTTAATAACTGTTGGTAGTAGTAATTAGTAGTAGTAGTACCAAGGACTACTAGCACTTTTATTATGGAAGCAGAATATACAATGAAAAAAACATAAAAAAACAAACCAAGCAACAACACAAAAGAGAAATAAAACAAAAGAAACCATGCAAACATCAGACAGGCATACAAGCACCTGTATTTTTCAGTTTCAGAAATTTACCTTAAAAATGTTAGCCGCATGCTTCATTTGTCGACAATTCTCAAAAGAGTTCAGGCAATCATCTGTCTTTCTATAGTGTGCTGAAGCATTTGTACACCCACATCCTCATACAAGGGGACTTCAAAAAATTTGTGAAAAAATTCCATGATCTTTTAATTTCATTTTTCCATGAACTTTTGAAGCTCCCTTGTATAACTGCAGAGCCTTAGAGTTGGGATGGACTGAGGCCCAGAGAATTGTGTGATTTCCATAATTCCCATAATTAGAATCTAGAATGCCACCAATGGCGTTTGTGCTACATGGCCTTCACTGGAGAAAAACCTCTATAAGGGCCCTGCTGGTTGGCGTACTTTAAGCAGGTGAAGCCAGGTGTCTTTTAGTAACAATTGTGTTAACAGATTCATGAGTGAAGGTTAGAATCTTCTATCTTTAAGACAATTGCCCTTGTTTTCATCCTTTCTGTATAGGGCAGAAGAGATGAGAGTCTGAAAGTGGATGAACATCTGGCTAAAAAGGATGCCCAGGTCAGTAATAGAGCAAAGGATGTCTTCTTTAACTCTTCTTCTTGGTTTACATCTGTCGGGATACTACCAAGAAACCTACTGCCATCAAGTTGATGCTGACTCTTAGCAACGCTAAAGGACTGAATGAAACAGCTCCTTATGGTTCCCAAGAATGTAAATCTTGACAGGAACAAGCAGCCTGTACCTGTGTTTTGGAGGGACAGAATTCAACCCATACCAGCAGGGGATCCCCAACCCTCTGCTTTCTGCTTTCTCTAGTAGCAGGTTAGCATTCCCCTATCTTCCGCCGCGCCAACTCTCACATTTCTAGTCTTCAAAAAGTGAAAGAGTTACATAATAGGTTGATGTAAATCACCTATTCTTCATTCTGTTCCTCCAAAATACAGGGAGAGAGGAAATTATGTCCTTTTAAGAATAATCTCTCTCTACCCTTATCCAACAGCTTCTCTATAATGCTGGGGAGAAGAAATGGGGCACAGATGAAGATATATTCACTGAGATCCTGTGTTTAAGGAGCTTTCCTCAACTGAAGCTAAGTATGGACTTGATTCACTTCTTTCTTTCTTGTTTGTTTGGGTTTTTTTTTAAAACCACACTACATGATCATTTTTGAGAGGTTATTTTTTTTGGTCTGTTTCTTTGGGTTTTGTTTTGTTTTACAAATGGCTTGGTATTTAATATACAAAGCTCTAGAACAAGTTTAAAAATTGCAAAAATGGTTCTAATTTTATCCATAAACTGTTCAAGAAACAAAATGGGGAAAGTCAAGGTGGTACTCATGCATGTTCTTCCCTGGAAGCTAAGTGAATATATTCATCAAGAATCACGGGGGGCAGGAGAGGGACTGTGGCAGAGGGAGAGAAAAGGTGGTCCCCCGGGATAAGAGCAGAAAGGGAGTGTTTCTGTAGGGTGACAGTTTGGCCATCTCTTCTCAAGTTGGCCATTGTCTAGGAAATAAAGAAGCACTACTCAGAAGTTTCTGTTAATGCATTAATACTGATTAATTATAAAAGTAAGGAGCTCTGGTAGCATGGTGGTTACGAATCGGGCTGCGAATGTTAAGGTCAGCAGTTCGAAACTACCAGCTGTTGCGCGGGAGAAAGATGAGGCCTTCCGCTCCCATAAAGATTTACAGCCTCAGAAACCCTGTACAGGGTCGCTATGGGTCAGAATCGACTCAACAGCATTTAACAACAACAGCAACAACTATAAAGGTAAGTGAGTGGGAATAAGGGATTAAAAAAAAAAAAACCCTATAAAATATCTCTCTCATCATACCAACTTTTTGATCGAACTGCTAAGTACCTACCCCTTATTCACCCACACTGCATCTCCTGAGATGTTCTGGAAGCAACAGCACCAAAAGGCCCAGAACTCCAGCTACTGTGAACACCTCTGACTGGCTCCTAGGTGCTGGTCTAGAGACCAACCCCAGTGCAGGACTAAACTTAGGTCAAGTTCATGGACGAGTGAGGAGACAAAAACATAGTACTGGACTTCAATTCTGAAATTGCCTTTCTTTAATTTTTCCATTAAAATCACAATGATTTGATAAAATAATGCTGATAGCATATGACGTTGCTTGCCAATGAATCAATTCTGCCTCCTAGAGACCCTAACTGACTGAGTAGAAGTGGTTTCTAAGGAGCAGATCTCCAGGTCTTTTCTACCAAAGAGAAGCCAGTGTGTTCAAACCACAGATCTTTAAGTTAGTCATGAAATACTTACCCATTGAGCAACCAGAGCTCTTACAGACATGACCATTTTATTAAAGTCACAAAACCACACATCCTAGTTCCATCTCCAAAATTTTTCTTTTCAAAGTTTACTTGGAAATTTTTACTTAACTTTGCAAAATATGCCTGTATAGTTAGGTGACATACATATAGGGTTTATTTGTGAGTAAATAGGATCAAGAAATAGGATGCCTTCTGATAGGTTTCAAGTAGGTAATGCTGTCTTGGGGAATGGTTTACTCAGCACATACAACAATTTTGATTTCTTTAGCAGATAGGACACATTTTACAAATGATCACACTATGTATGGTTTCCCAGGTGCTAGGAGTCTTGGTGTGGCGCTGTGGGCTAATGTGTCAGACTGCAAAGTCGTTTGAACTGCAGAGTTGGTGGTTCAAGCTCAACAGCTGCTCCTTGGAAACCCTATAAGGGTCGCTATGGGTCAGAATCAACTCAACGGTACTTAACAAGTATTATTTTTAAGAAGTCCATATATCGAGATAAATTATCATTGACTTTATAACCTTTCAGTTACATAACTTTTCAGAAATGAAAAAATAAAAAGGAAACTTTTAGGCTCAACTTTGGGTGGTTTAGGGAAGAAGTTCTGAAGTTGCTCCTAAACAAGTTGATCTGCTGCATACCTAATCTAAATGGGAATACATACATTCAAGTGTGGTCGGCTGGCTGGGATGGTTTAAATATGTTTCTGGTACTGCTTTTTAGCATTTGATGAATATCGAAATATCAGCCAAAAGGACATTGAGGACAGCATAAAAGGAGAATTATCTGGGCATTTTGAAGACTTACTGCTGGCCATAGGTAAGCCTTTGAGCACTTAATAAACCAAAGTATTTTGCACTTGCTCTAAATCAACATCAAGGTAAGCACCTTTTATATAAGTATCCTGACTGATCCATCTTTCTGTCCCCTACATCCCCAGCACAGGCCATGGTACAGACAGTATGCTCAACAAATACTAAGTTGATACATGAAGAAATTATTTATATATATATAACTTTGCCTTTTATTTGTGTTTTGCTTATCATTGTGCTTATATTATAGTCTACTTAAGAACTCAATTTATTTCATTTCTGCTGACATTTTTATTGAGCTTCGTGGAAAAGTGAATCCTGAGCCAATTTGGTTATTCATCATATGTGGTTATTTTGGGACCATGTCAGTAACCTCCCAACATTAAAGCTGGGTCAGAGCTATAGGTCTCTTCTGCTTTGACTGTCTTAGTCAAAATGAAAGTAAGCTCCAGGCTGGATCATCCCCACATAAACTCTTCAGTTAACAAGCAGGTAATAACATGGCTTTATGAGGTCTCAGGTGTCTGTCCTTTAAGGCACCTGGACAGTATCATGTAATAAAGCTGCATTCAAAAGAAGGAGACATGATCCAATGACAAAACTTAGTAACTCAGGGTCAGGCAATAAAATCTTTTGTTAAGTCAAACAGTATTGGTCAGAATCCTAAAGCACCAGGGTATATAGGGAGGCTATTGGGATTACGACAGGCTTATACTCTATTAATGCAGGTGGCTTAATGGTTAAGTGCTTGTCTTCTGATAGAAAAATCAGCAGTTCTAATCCACTAGCTGCTCTTTGGGAGAAAAGACCTGGTGCACTAGCTGCTCTTTGGGAGAAAAGACCTGGTGATCTGTTTCTGTAAGAATTACACCCTAGAAGACTCAGTGGGGACAGTTCTAATCTGTTTTATAGGGTTGTTATGAGTCAGAATCCACTCCATGACACACAACAATAGTACCTATACAATTTGGGCCAGTCTGACATCTTCAAATTAAAAAAGGTATGTGACAAGGTTGTATTCTTTCACCATACTTATTCAACCTGTGTGCTGAGCAAATAATCCGAGAAGCTGGGTTCTATGAAGAAAAACATGGCATCAGGATTGGAGGAAGACTCATTAGCAACCTACGATATGCAGATGATACAACCTTGCTTGTTGAAAGCGAAGACCACTAAAAACATTTATTGATGAAGATCAAATAGCAAAGCCTTTGGTATGGATTATATCTCAATGTCAAGAAAACAAAAATCCTCACCACTGGACCATTAAACAACATTGTTATCAATGGAAAAAAGATTGAAGTTGTCAAGGACTTCATTCTTCTTGGATCAACTATCCACAGTCATGGAAGCAGCAGTCAAGAAATCAAACAACATTAGGCAAATCTGCTGCACAAGACCTTTTTTAAAGTGTTGAAGAGCAAAGATGCAGCTTGAGGACTAAGGTGCGCCTGACCCAAGCCATGGTATTTTCAGTCACCTCATATGCATGTGAAAGCTGGACAGTGAATAAGGAAGAACGTAGAAGAGTTGATGCCTTTGAGTTATGGTGTTAGAGAAGAATATTGAAATTGCCATGGACTGCCAAAACAACCAATAGATCCGTTTTGGAAGAAGTGCAGCCAGAGTGCTCCTTAGAAGCTAAGATGGCCAAACTTCGTCTCTCATACTTTGGACATATTGTCAGGAGGGACCAGTCACTGGAGAAGGATATCATGTTTGGTAAGGTGGAGGGTCAGAGAAAAAGAGGAAGACCCCCAAAGAGATGGATTGGCCAAGTGGCACATTGATGGACTCAAGCGTGGCATCAGTAGTGAGGTTGGCCCAGGATCGGGCAGTGTTTTGGTTTGCTGTACATAAAGTCACTATGGGTAGGTACCGACTCGATGGCACCTAACAACAATAACACCTTATCATTTCACCAATGAATTAATTACCCTTTGTAATTTGGTAAAAACTTACCTAGAATAACTGTAACTAATGGTAAACCCACTACCAGTGAGTCAATTCTGATTCATAACAATCCTGTATAGGGTTTCTGAGGCTGTAAATCTTTACAGGAGTAGAAAGCCTCAACTTTTCCCTGCAGAGCAGTGGGTGGGCTTGAACTGCTAACCTTATGATTAATAGTCAAGTGCTTATCCTACAGTACCACCAGGAATTCTTAACTAGAAGAATAGACATATATTAACTTGTGTGAAGGGAGAGAAAAAATGTGTGTGTGTGTATATATATATATATATGAGGGGGGCTTCAGAAAGTTCATGGAAAAATAGAATTGAAAGATAATGGGATTTTTTCACACACATTTTGAAGTTCCCTTGTAAATATATAACATTTAAAAATATTTCACCAATGAAAATTATTTCTAATATCTGTTATAATTATAAAACCTCGAATGAGCTACAGATAGCTGATACCTAGGAATAACTTTCTGTGGGGTGGACCCTGTGATGAATCTTTCATATCTTAGCATCACTGTAAGGTGAACCCATAATTAGGGTAATTCCAATGATACTTTTTAAAAGCTTACTATGTGCTAGGCACTGTGCTGAACTCTTCACAAATAATCAACTCATTTAAACCTCTTAACAATCATATGAACTAGGTGCTTTATTAGTCCCTTCATTTGAAAATGAAACAAATCAGTTACCATCTAGTCACTTCCAACTTATGGTGACCCCATGCGTGTCGAAGTAGAATTGTCGTCCATAAGGTTTTCTTTGGCTGGTTTTTGAGAATTAGATTACCAGGTCTTTCACAGTGCTGTCTGGGAAGATTGAAATTTTTCAGTTAGCAGCTGAGTGCATTAACCATTTGCACCACCCAAGGTTCACTTGGTAGAGCTGGTGAACCTGAACTTCAAAGAGATTAGGTTACTTTCCAAGGATACAAGGGGAGCACATGGTAGAACTGGAATTCTAACATAGGCAGTTGAGTTTCATCGTCAGTGTGCTTCCGTAAGACACATATAGAACACATAGTCTATACTGAAATCTTCTAAAGAAGATTGCAGAAAATATGCTGAGGAACAAGTATCCACAAGTTCCATGTCCCATTTTAAGTGCTAACTCCACACATGTGAGTTTTGTTCTATGTCTTCTACCAATCTATCATTGTATCGCTGGTCACAAAGATCAGTTGTTAATTGTGTTTTTAAGTGCTGTGGGGTTGGTTCCAGCTCAAAGAGACCCTGTATAGGGTTTCCAGCAAGCAACTGGTGGGTTCAAACCAGTGACCTTGTGGTTAGCAGTTTACTGCTTATCCTACAGCACCATACTAGGAATCCGGAATGGTCATTTCTTGTTAAGTGCCGTTGAGTTGGTTCTGACTCAGTGATTCTGTATAGGTTTCCAAGGAGCGACTGGTGAGCCTTCCACCCCCAACCTTGCAGTTCAAACCAGCTTTGCAGTCCAGCACATTAACCCATAGCATCATCTTTCTCCCACAGAGTGTCTGGTGGTTTAAACTTAGACTACCTTGAGGTTAGCAGCCTAACACTTAAGACCCCATTCCGCCAAGGCTTGTTTTCAGGTAAATTGTTAAGTGCCATCGAGTCTGTTCCAACCCGTAGTGACCCTGTATATTTCCAAGGGGTGGCTGTGAGCTTGAAATGCTGACCTTGCAGTCCTGTGCATTAACCCACAGTGCCACATCAAGAAAATTAGTTATTATCAATTTAAATGGTTAGTTTCCTTTCAAAGAACTTCATATGCAATATTGCATTCATGGTTTTCCCCCAGATTCCATGTGTGAATTTTTAATACAGTTCTCCTGTTATCTTCAAATCACTTAAATAAACCAAAAGCTTTTTAGCTTTCCTTAGGAGAGTCTATGAAGTCACTCTGAGAAAGCCACTTATTTTGTCCTGATCTCCAAACTCCATTATAAAATGCATCCTTTTTTTTTTTTTTTTTCTAAATCAGATTCCTCCCTACAGATTAGGTTTAAGATTATAAAAGTAATTGTGTTGCAGTAAATAGATTTGTTGCCCATAGAATTTGCTACACCTGACTTTCTTCACCTCATTTAAAGGATAATTAATTTATTCACCAATTTGCCCCTTTTCTCTATCTTGTTCTATTTTTGCTTTGTTATTTCAAAATAAAAACTGGAAAGTTTAAAGTATTTTTTGGATGACTGGATTTAGATTAAGGTGCTGTTCTAACGTCATTACTTTAACCAGTCCATAAACTCTAATCCATTCACTGAAGAGAAAGTCTTGCCACTGGAAAAATTGCTTTTAAATTGAACTCCAGTGCCCCTTCTTAGCTAATGAGTTATTTGAAGCAACATCTCTGCAGTCTTTAGACTCAAGTTATTCATCCGCAACCAAAGATGTTAAGAAAAGGAGCTACACCCCAGGGAGTTATCGATGCAAGCGTAGGTGTTCAGCCTGTCTGTGAGCTGCAGATGACTCAGGCACTGTGGGAGTGTCTTTGGCAGATACTTTCATTTTCCCTGTGGCTGAAGGTGATTATTGTGCTGAAATTCCTTGCAAAAGTGACGTTATAAGCTTTCAAATTCAGGTTAAGCACCCATTCTTTCATTCTAAGTAAAAGCCAGTAGTGAGAAGGAGGTAGACCCCTGAGGATTTCTTTGACATATTGCTATAGATTAACCCAATTTTTATTAAATGAAAGTAGACATTGTTTTTGTGTTGTTGTTTTTTTAAACAGTTCACTGTGCGAGGAACATGCCTGCCTTTTTGGCTGAAAGACTGCATCAGGCTTTGAAGGTTGGTCCATAAATGCCCTATGTATTCTTAGTTTCCCTCCAGACTGATGAAATTTCATATTTTCTGCTTTGATGAGTTTTCTTAGTGAATTTGTCTTACTAATTGCCTCTATAAGATTGATAGTAAGACATACAAAGGGACTTCAGAAAGTTTGTGGAAAAATGAAACTGAAAGATAATGGAATTTTCCCATGAACTTTTATGTATTTCAATATAGAGATAAGCACAGTGAAGTTTCCTCTACTTTACACTTGCTGCTGTCGTAAAGTGTCGTTGAGTCACTTTTGACTCAAAGTGACCCTGTGTAGGGTTTCCAAGGAGTGGCTGGTGAGTTTGAACTATCAACCTGTGGTTAGCAGTCCAGTGCTGATCCTACAGTGTCACATCAGGACTCTCACCTTACAGTAAGTGTAATAGGCAATGGACCTTATATTAGAATGCTAAATCTCAAACTTGACTCATTAGGTCCAGAGTTTATTTAAGCTGCTTGCTTAAAATAAACCAAGCTGTGTCAGTAGCCTTTATATGATATTGTGACCCTGTGTTTTCTTGTCTGTCTTTGCTGATTAATGGTGAGGCATGTTTTCTTGTATATCTTCAGGCCTTAGCAGGGTCTATCACATAGAAGATGGTAACCTGAACTTCTTTACCAGACATATCCTGTGGGAGATCCACAGGCACCTTCAAAATGAAGTCCTAAGTGAATATCCCCCGACCCCATACTTCCACTCCTAAATATCCTCACTCTGGGGTAAAGAATTTAGCTTTCCCCAAAGTGATTTGGTATTTGCCTTTGTTTTCTGAGAAATAACACTAAACCTTGGGGGATTTCTGGAGTAATTATGGTGCCTGTGTTATCTAGAGAACATCTGAGGGCTTGTGCTAACGAGTGGGAACTAGCTTGACCAGAAAGACCATTACATGGCCTGTTAACAGCTGATGTCAGGAAAGGAGGGGAACATGACTGAATCATATCCATGCAGTGAGTCCTGGTGTGGGTGGCACTGCCGGTTAATGTGCTGGACTGCAAAGTTGGTTTGAATTGCAAGTTCAGCAGTTCAAGCTCACCAGTCACTCCTTGGAAGCCCTGTATAGGGTCACTAGGAGTCGGGACTGACTTGGTGGCACTTAACTTGGCGTCCTAAATGTACCTGCCTTGCATCTATACATGGTTGGCTTCTTATCATCTTCTGGGTCTCTGTTCAAATCTTACTACCTGATAAGACTTTCCATGATTCCCTTAAACAACATGCAATGAGTCAAGCCCTTGTATGGCACTATAGGATCAGTACTGGACTGTTAACCTCAAGGTCAATGGTTCAAACCCCCTGACTGTTCCTTGGAAACCCCATATACAGTCGCTAGGAGTCGGAATGGACTTGACAACATTAAATGTTGTCAATCATTCTCCTCAATGTTATACATCATGTTGTTAGGTGCCATCAAGTAGGTTCTAACTCATAGCAACCCTATGTACAACAGAACAAAACACTGTCCTATCCTGCATCATGCTCCCAGTCATTGCTATCTTTGAGGCAACTGTTCCCGCCACTATATCATTTTGCCCCATTGAGGCTCGTCCTCTTTTTTACTGACCCTCTGTTCTACCAAGCATGATGTCTTTCAACTGGAACTGGTTCCTGTCAGTATCAGATAGATGTTGGGTGAAAGCAGATAATACCAGAAAGTTGCTTACCTTGGTTTTATTCACTATGCAAAGGCATTCAACTGTGTGGCTACACCATTAAATCTTGCCTTCCTCAGCATCTTTCAAGTCCATGCATCTTTTTCATCCTGATCGTCACTATTCTAGTTCAAGCCATCGTCATCTCTTTTTTTTGTTGCTGTAGTCCCGTATGTATGGGCCCCAAAGTCTCTAGTATTATTCACTTATCTTCATCCCACTCCTACTCTGCAATCTATTCCTCATACTACAGTCAAAGTAATCATTTGAAATCACAAATCAAATCTGATCTCAGTGCTCTCATGTTTAAAAGATTACAGTAGTCCTCCACACTTTGGGATGAAGTTAGAATTTAATTTCATGGTTTATAAGGTCTGACTCTTCCAGGCACATCTTTTGCTATTCCTCCTCATTGTTTATGTGTCTTGAATGTGGCATTCTCTGGTGCTCTAAACCTTCACACATGCTATTTCCTTTCATTGGAATATTCTCTCCTCTATGAATCATGCTTCTGCTTCCCCAGGTCTCAGATTAGAGGTTACTTTCCCAGGCAGGCCTTCTCTTTAATCCTCAGTCTAGTTTATATTTCCCCAGTCCATGTTCCCATAGCACCCAATATTTACCACAACCAAATTATCTTGTAGTAGTCTGCTTTCTTGCCTGTATCCTATACAAAATTGGAAGCTTGACAAAAGTATCTCATCTCTGTTTTTCAGCATTTAGATTATACTGGCATACTGTAGGTGCTTAATAAATAGTTCTTAAATAAGCAAATTATGAAGTTTGGTGCTAAATGAATGAAGAAAAGCTACTGTAGTTGAATAATGAAGTTTGGTGCTAAATGAATGAAGAAAAGCTACTGTAGTTGAATAATGTTTATGTACCATTCACTGTTTCTTATAAAAAATAGATCTTTATGTTTTTTGTATTGTGAATATTTCTTAACAGGGTGCAGGAACTGATGAATTTACTTTGAACAGAATAATGGTTTCCAGATCAGAAATTGACCTTTTGGACATTCGAGCGGAGTTCAAGAAGCATTACGGCTATTCACTATATTCAGCAATTAAAGTGAGTTTCCTCTTAAAAACAGCAAAGCGTATTTTGCCCCTCCCCACCTGTCCTCTTTTTCTCCTATTCCTTAAAACATCGAAGTATATGACTTATGTTTCTCTCTCCTTGTGCATTTTTGTGTGTGCTTTTCTGAGTCTAAAATAAAACGCACTGAGTTGGTTCTGACTCATATGGCCTACAGGATAGAGTAGGACTGCTCCATCGGGTTTCCAAGTCTGTAAATCTTGACAGGGCTCTTGGCATAGTGCTGCAGGATAAGCACTGGACTACTAACTGAAAGATCATGATTCAAACACACCAGCTACTCCTCAGAACTCCTATCCAGGGTCACTATGAGTCGGAATGGACTCAACAGTACTTAACAACAAATCTTTACAGAAGCATTCTGCCTCTGCAAGCATCCTTCCACAGAGCAGTTGGTAGAGTCCAACCCCCAGCCTTGCAGTTAGCAGCCAAGTGCTTAACCCATTGTGCTCCTAGGACTTCTTGAATTTAAAATAATAGCAGCAATATACCCATTAAAGATAGTAATACTTTTTCAGCTTTAAAATTTTAGACACATAATAGATCATTCAACATTCCCACGCCCCCTCGTGATGAACCTTTTCACTGACTTGTTTCTTTTTGGTAAAGTTACTGCATATGTTACATTACACAATTTACAATTGCAACAACATTCAACACATCAATAATAGCTATATAATCTTAAAATAATATTTTCTTGCTATGCTTCTCCTTCCCCCATTTATTTCAGCTTGTCTCCGTTAATATCAATATACAATCAATTTTCAGTAAGTTTACTTTGTACTTAATTCTTACAGTAAGTACAAATTTGTTTTTTTTTTTTTTTTGTCTGTCTGACTTAATTATGTTTATTCCTGGAAATTATATTTGTTCCTCATGATTGGCCATGTTATTGCATTTTGGGAAATTCTCCTCTCTCTACTGTACATATTTTTCCCATGTATAAAGATGAGAATTTATTTAATGATTTTGCCTTTCTATATGGAGTTCTCCCTTGAGTAATACTTGCAGAACTAGTCTGGTTGTGGTAAATTCACAGAACTTGTTTGTTTAGCAGTATCTTGATTTTCCCTTTGTTTTTGAATGACAGCTTTGCTGGATAAAGAATTGTCAGTTGTAAAATTTTTTTTTCCTTTCAGTATTTTATATATATTGCTCCATTGTCTTCTGGGCTCAGTTTCTCGGGAGAAATGTACACTGGTTCTTATGAAAGCCCCTTGGCTTGTTGTATTGTTATATTGCATTTTTCTCTTGCTGTTTTTGGTGTTTTCTCTTTGTCTTCGGTTCGCTAACTTCTTGTGTTGACAGTATCTCTTTTCTGTCCAGCTCTGGAAAACTCTTGCAGACTATCTCTTGGAAAATTGTTTGTATGCTGCTTGTGTTGTTGTCATGGTGCTCTGGGATCCCAGTAACTCTGATGCTAGCTTTCCTCACTGAATCTCACATTTCCTTACAGGTCTCTTTACCTTTTTATTTTCTCTTGTTTCTTTTGTGACTTGATACATTCATTTGTTTTTCTGGCTCTTTTGTTTCTTTGTGGTCTTCTGGTTCATTGATTCTGTTTTCCATCTGTTCAACTCTGTTGTTGAGTGTTTCTCTTGCTGTTTTATTCTTCAGTATCTGTAGTTGTCTCTCATTTATCTGATGTATTCAGTTTCTATATTGTCTTTCATTTCATTCCTCCATTTTGTTTCCTGAACTCCAGTAGTTTTTTTCTGTGTGTTTTTGCTTTCTTTAAATCCATTTGATACTAGTCTTAAAATTAACAATTCTTTGTATTATTCTAGTGTCCATAGACATGTCCCCACTTCTGACTTGTTCCTTCTACATGTATGATTTTATTTTTTGTTTAATTTGGGCTTTTTTACTCCAAATTTTATATTCTTATTTTTTGTGAGATAATTTTCTGATTAAACACACTGATAAAGGGGTCTAGTTCCTAGCTGACAACCTAAATGTTGGGACCTGCATGCACTCACCAGCTGTTCTATAGGACAAAGACATGACAGGCCCCCTCCACAGACACTCACAGCCCTAGGAACCCCATGGGCAGCTCCACACAGCTTCACATGGTTGTGTGAATCCAGATCCACCCAGTATCAGCAGGCTTGGCATCTTGCGCTGAGAACCAGTAGACTCTTAGCCTTAGTTTTTTTTTCTTTTCTTTTTTTTCCCATGCTGATTCAGGAATTCTGGATGCTTGGTCTGTGAAATTTAATATGCATGTGTAGGATGAGGGAGTTAGCTGTTCACAGATGCTGACATAAGTGGTGAGACCGAACTTTCCTGTGGCAGAGGAGGAGGGCTCTCTGTCTGGCTCCCATGGGAGCCCCTGCTCAGGCTCACCCACAGATTCTCACTGCAGGCTGTTTGCTCTGTGTGGCCCTGTCATGCTGCTGCCCTTACTGTTCTGTCCAGTCCTAGTGTCCATCCATCTTGAGCCGCATAAAATTCAATGGCACTCTCTCTTAGTGCCACAGTCTCCTTTCTCCTTATTGACCCCTCTTAATTACATGGCCTGTTCCCATGGTCACTTTAAAAAAAAAAAAAAAAATCAGGCTACAACCTCCTCAGATTAGCTCCTTTTCTGTGTTCCCTGTTTGAGGTGCTGGACAGCACCACCCCAAAATGACTGTGATGAATGAGCACTCGTGATGTAGTCAGAAGGTTCTCCTAGCCTCTGTATTTCCTCTGCCACTGGACTCCGCTCAGTTCTTCAGCACTTCAGTGCAGTCAGGAGTTCTGAAAATTCATTTGCTGCTTGTCTGTATTCACTGTAAGTAGGCTGGTTACTGGGAGAGTACGTGGGAATGTTTACTCATGTCACCGTCTTGCGGTGTCATTGGAATATACATGTTTCTTACTATGAATGAGATGAGCATAGTTTCATGTTCATGTAGTGGTTACGAATCGGGCTGCAAACCCTAAGGTCAGCAGTTCGAAACTACCATCTGTTCTGCAGGAGAAAGCTGAGGCTTTCTATTCCCGTAAAGATTTACAGTCTCAGAAACCCCGTACAGGGTCACCATGAGTTGGAACCAACTCCATGGCACATCACCACCACCGCCAAGTGCCACTCAAAGGAGCCTTAATAGTGTAGCAGGTTATGAATGGCTTGCTAACCGCCAAGTTGAACAGTCCTAATCTGCTAGCTGCTCCTTGGGAGAAAGGTGAGTCATTCTGCTCCCATAAAGATTTATAGCCTGGGAAACCCTATCCCAGGGTGCTGTGAGTTGGGGTTGACTTGACAGCATACAACTGCCACCACCATCAAGTGCCACTTGAATTTGGTTTTCTGCAATGTGTCTTTTTAATTCATTTCCCCATTCGTCTCTGAGAGGTTTCAAAAAAGTTCATGGAAAAATGGGATTAAAAGATGAGGAAATCTTTCCACCAAATTTTGAAACTCCTTTCCCCCTTATATTGACTTTTTGGTTAATTTCTAAGACCTCATCT